TAATATAAATTAACTTTACATTATTGCTTTAAATATCAGTCTTTATCCCCGGCGTGCCGGCTGTTATCAGCGTTAGCAAACGCTACCTATACAGTCTTAACTCGATTAAGCGGTGGTAGCTAGGCATAAGAAACGATAAAAATGGCACTAAAAGATATGCCGATTATAAAAGAAGGCGGTCACTTTTCATTTAACATACAGAGCCACGTTTTATGGAGCGTTGTTAGTTTGTTATTGCCGTGCCGCCGGCTCAGTGTTGCCAGATCCTGATGGTGTTTGGCTTGTCTTGCCCAGTGCCAATGAGAAGCGAGTGCAGTGCTAATCCTGGATTACCAAGCGCACGAACCTTACTGCAGTTTAAGACCAGCGGCACAAGTGAATATTAAAATTGACCTACAGTAAACATGGTTATAATCAGAGCAGCAGTTATCCTTCAGTTAGATCTTATTTTGATGGCTCTGATATGTCCTCTCTTCGTCTCTTCCTTTCATATCTTCAGCTTCGTCTATGGACCTCTGCCTGCTTCTTGTGTGTCAGTTAATTCCACTTGATTCACAAGATCAGCACTGGACCAGTTGCCTCAAACACTGCATTTTATAATCATATGAGTGTGATTTTTCTTTTCCAGAATGGGGAATTTAACCTCCTCCCATCCAAGGGGTCTGTCCAGCACTGCCTGTTTACAGTACGTTCAGGTAAGACCTGCTACATACAAGCAGTTTGTTACTTTGCTGGGTATGGTAGCGTGCAGTGGGTCTTTGTGTAACTTGTTTTCAGTTGTGCAGGTCTCACAGGCTTATGTATTTTTTTATGGATACACAACCATGACATATTCTGTCTGATTCAATACATGTTTTACCTGAAGACTTTTGAATTAAACATATGTCATGCAGCACCCCTAGAAGTGACATGTGTGAATACACGTGTTCACAAACAAATATAAATAAATCTGTGACAAGGCCCTGTAATGTTTCAGGGGTATGCCCATCTACTGTAGACTGCATGAAAATGGGTGTAAGGTCTGGGTCTGAAAAGTGAAGCCTTAAATCTGCATTCTTTTTAAGTGCCACCAGGGGGCGGTATGCGTGGCTACAGAAACTGAAGGTACTGCAGAAATTTATGAGGAAAACTGGCTCTAATTTAGTAAATTATGGTCATTCATCTTGTGCAGCTGCATTTTACATACTTGCCTCTAGTATAGGTGTTATATCGGTCCATTACACAGTAGTCAGTCAACAAATCTTTCCATTAAATGACCTGAGTGTGATTACAAAGTGCACAACTGCATGCATCAAGATGCCTTGAGGTTTTCTTGTGCACATCAGTTTTACACTTCTCCAGATCAGTCGCTCTGTGGTATCAGAGCATGTCATCTTGTCAGTGGCATGTTTAACTTTGAAGGCGGTCTGCTTATGAGTGGAGGTGACATCCTAAAATCCATTAAGACACCACCGACTCATCAATAATTAGAAATGTGTTTTAGCCACATGAAGAATGAGCAATCTTTTAGAAACTTCTTAACTTTAAAACAAAGTCTTGTGCATTCAAATTGACTGCATCCTTAAACTTAAAGGCCTTTGCATTCAGGTGTTCCAAACAGGCAAAAATTCAAATAAAACTGGTGGTTAATCAGAATTCTTTCTACATCTGTTGACTATATTCCAGCTAAAGCTATAGATCTGTGGTTACTGACGTTACCTCCTTTACCAGCTTACCCTAAAGTGAGTAGAGCAGACAACACTCTGGTGATGAATCATCAATCTGCTAGAAAGAATGCAAAGGGGAGGAGCCGTCCTCATGCTGGTGTAGAAATGTGCTTGTTGCCCTCAAAAAGGAAGCCGTGAAACTTCCACCATAATTCTGCAATTGGGTCTCTGCCCGAAGTGGAGATAAAATCCTTCTCGCCCTTCACCAACTTGATTCCTGCTATGCTGAAGCTGTTTCTGGACTCCACACTCATAACTAAGTATTCTAATTGTGTCTGCCCTTTCAGGATGTGGTGTCACAGAACTGTGTTGTGATATTTTCCAAGACCACCTGCCCATATTGTAAAATGGCCAAAAACGTCTTCAACGAAATTGGCGCAACCTACAAAGTGATCGAACTGGATGAGCACAATGACGGGCGGAGTCTGCAAGAGGCCCTAGCTCAGATGACCGGTGCCAGGACGGTAAGAAGGACCTCACCTTCGTGTGCTTTTTTTTTTTTAAGTAGAAGAAGAATCAAAACACACATCTCTGACAGCTTGTTTGTTCTGGCAGCTCTGCCTTCAAGTTAAATTTAGGTGGAGTTAACAAGCATCTTTGTTGGGGTTGCAGCCAAGATTGAGGACTTTATAGGCGCTCAGAATAGCTGACTCTGAGTCAGGATGAATCCCCATAGCAAGTCCCATCTTTTTACATCATAGCCTTTGCTCTGTTGCTCTTTAGTCACTTTCCAGTATGCGAGAGTTCTGAAAACATGGAAACGAGGAAGGCTGTCCGCACATGAACACTGTGCATTAAAACAATGAAGCTGAAAAACACATACATAGGCCGTCTGCTTTACCTTCAGGTGTATGCCACTGCAGCCTTGCTCATGTTCCCTGGCCTCAGCTTGAAAGCTGTGAAAGTTGATAATGAATTTTATAATTCAAAATAGGAGCATCTCGACTCAGGGTCGCTGTTAGGGTATGTATTTGTTTTGTTTTTTATCAGAGAAGCCACGCATGTCCTTGTGCTCGTACACGTTATCTGTGAAGTGTTATCGAACCAGATGTTTCAAAGCCCATGTAACTAATAAAGAACAGCACGTAATTTAAATCACCTTGATACTTTTATAGTCTAAATATTTAATCATTACATTTTCATGGCAAATTGAACAACATCTTGCTGCCCACCATCCACAAGGGGGCAGCAGCCCACATTTAGGGGCTCATCGATTTCAACAACTATGTCAAACATGCAGCCCCTTGGCGTGAACTAGCACCTCCAAAAAGGCCAGTCTGGACCACTGGATCCAGTATTGCTGAGCATGAGGATGTATGCTGTCTTTTTCCTTTTAATTACAAAGTATCTTCTCTTTCTGTAATTCCATCCCTTTTCTGCTACTTGTCCAGGTCTGGGTTGTGGGGGCAGCAGTCTAAGCACAGATGCCCAGGCCACCATCTCCCCAGCCATCTCCTTCAGCTCTTGCAGCTGAGGCATTCCCAAGTCAGCCTAGAGAGATCTAATTTCTCAAGCATTGCCCAGGTCTGCCCCAGGGCCTCCTCCCGCTTGAAAAATGCCAAACAAACTCACTTAGAAGGCATTATAGTCAGGTGTCTGAACCACCTCAGGAGTAGTGGCTGTACTGTTAGTCCTTCCTGAATAACCAGGCTCCTCACCAGGGTCAGCGAGCCCTTGGAGGTGGCCCATTTCCTCTACTTGTATTCTTTAGATCACTAGCTGCTCCTACTTTAAGTTGTAAAAATTCATTAACAGCTCACACAGCTGTCAAGTTGGGGCCAAGAAAGAACACAAACAAACCTGGAGCTACAAATAGACTGTGTGTGGGTCTTGAATGCAAGGACAGATTGGAGATGTGAGATGGCACATGAAACTTGGGGGAAAAAACCTAACCTAATCTGAAATCGTTGATCATTAGCAACTCATTCATAGCATGCTAAAGTCTGTATCCCCCTGACACCCTCCCCCCTCTTTTTTTCTCTGTTTAGGTCCCAAGAGTCTTTGTCAATGGCCATTGCATTGGGGGCGGGTCTGATACCAAACAGCTCCATCAGCAAGGAAAGCTGGTGCCTCTGATCGAGCAGTGTGCTTCCTGCTGTGCTGCCACAGGCTCTGAAGGCTCAGGCGCCAGACAGTTTGAGGCGGCCAAATGACTAACCGTTCTTACGGTTTTTATCAATGCACCACTTATCACATGTTTGCTTGAGCTCATGCTACAAGGTGTACATTGCTTGAGCATGACTATAGTATTTATGCATCAAAGTGCGGTGGATACTTGATGTAAAAATACATTTTCATCCAGGGATGTACATTATTATGATAATGATGATGATATTGTTTTTAATATTATTGTTATGGCCTCTGTGTAAAGCGTGGGATTGCTGTATTACTCGTACAGCACTTGTACATGTTTGTTTTATTGAACAATATTACACTTCACTGAACTGTGAACATCTTGATGTATTGATTCTACCTTAGCCGTTGGTTTTTATTTCAGGTAACTTTTCATATTTTGCAAGAGCAAAAGAGGTACACTTTGTAAAAATATGCAGAGTATTGTGCTGTTATTTGCATAAAATGTGAATAAATTTAGTAATTTGTGTATTTTTTTTGCAGTTGTCCTATTGCTTTCTACCACCCCTAAGCAGTCGCGGGGGATTGCTGCCCGTTCCTGGTTCTGCCAGGGGTTTCTTCCTGTTAAAAGGTTTTTTTTTCCTTCCTACTGTCCCCAAGTACTTGCTTAAAGAGGGGGTAATTGATTTTTGAGGTTTTCACTGTATTATTGTAGGGTATTTTCCTTATAGTAGAAAGTGCCTTGAGGCGACTGCTCTTATGATTTTTGCTATTTAAATAAAACACAATTGAACTGAAGTAGACTGATAAGAAATCCTGTTACAAATATACGCATTATGGACAATCTTTAGGTCACGCCAACATTAAGAAGTTCCTGAATCTTTGACTTTAGAGCTAGACATTGAATTCATTAAATTAGTAAATAATAATTACTACAAAAAATAGAGTGAATAATGATTTTCACATATTAAATATGAAGGAAATTCCGTTATAAAGTCGCAATGTGTCCCTTCTACAAAGGGCGCTCCATATGTCAATGCTTCACCTCACATGAGGGCGGGTACTGGTTGCCTTGCCGGGAGAAAGAGATTGTTTTTATTATTTCTATATTTGTTTTTATGCATTTATTTTTTTTAAAACAATGTAGTCACGGATGTTGTTAATAGGATGTTAGTAATCGAATTGTTTTTTTTTTCTTTGCCAATTACACCATTCCCGTGCGTTGTACGCTGTGAAACAAAACGCGCGCAATCATCGCGTCCACATTGCGCCGCATCACGGTGAGGTCATTGTCGTGCTGCGGTTAAATTAGCCTGGCTAACGGGAGCAGTGCACTGCTAAGCTATTAGCATTTCGTTTATGTGTGCTGTAGGCTGAATAAGTAACAGTGTGAAGGATGTCTGGAAGTGCAGGAGAGTGGTGTCTCATGGAGAGCGACCCCGGGGTTTTCACGGAGCTCATAAAAGGTTTCGGTGAGTGACTCGTAGGGTGACGCTAGCGGCTCATTGAATGTAACGTGGCTGTCTCGACAAGCTAGCTAGGTGGTTAACTGGAAACAATAAAGCTAACAATAGCTTCCAAATTGCTACTTCTTACTTTTGTATTGCAACAGGAAAATTTTTTTACATACTGTGCATCTTTATTACACCTTAATGTTGAATGATTTGCTTGTAATAATTGGGTCGCTACTTTAATTGGGCGAGCTAAATAGCTAGCATTACTCAGCGTTCAAAACAACGCGCGTGAAAGCAACCCCTTTGACATGTGTCGTGCATTCTCAGCTGTCAGACTACAAATGCTTTCTCTCCGTTAGTTAATGGTTACTTGAACGGTAATTAGCAATGTAAATAAATGTTCGCTGCTTCACTTGTCATTGTCAGGCTGCAGAGGAGCCCAGGTTGAAGAGATATGGAGTATGGAGCCAGAGAACTTTGAAAACTTGAAGTATGTTCATCTACACCTCTTATCTTGCATGCCTCTGCTAAAGACAGGTCTTTTTAATGTATGTGTTTTGTTACAGACCCGTTCACGGGTTGATTTTCCTGTTTAAGTGGCAGCCTGGTGAAGAGCCAGCAGGATCAATTGTCCAGGATTCAAGACTTGATCACATCTTCTTTGCCAAGCAGGTACTCTTAGCATTACAATTAATGTCCCTGTGTTCATTTAGATGCATTTGACTCACTATCTTCACTGCAGAAGCAATGCATTTTCCAGTTAGTTAGTGTTGGTGGCACTTACCAGACGAGAAATGAAGTGGCTCTGCAAAAGGCTCTAGTTCATTCACATTGGAAAATGAATGAGATAATAAATTGCAGCACATCTTACTTGGCTGGATAAATCTCACTAAGCCCACACCAAAGGATGCTGCTCCTCAGTGTAAAAAAATAAATAA